GCCAGAAAGGGTGTAAACATTGTATAGCATACATCTTTAATGACTTAAAAAAATATGAATTGGGATTCTCTTTCTCTAATTCACACTGGGAGGAAAGTGTACAAATAAGATCAACGAAATCATTAAAAACACAAAATTACCTTACCATTCATGCCCAGTGAGTTTATGTAAACTTCTGACTACAGCTCTATATGTAACTGTCTTAGTTAAGCTTTGTTGTCATTTCTCTAAGTAGTCTTCAGGAATAGTTCTCCAAGCGTCTTGAAGGACATCCAAAGCTCTTCATTAAGCTCGAGTCATAAAGCTATTTCTTAATGACACAATACTGTTCATCTGCTGCTGTAGGGGCCTGACACTTCTTTTCTTCATTTGTCTGGTTTCTTCAATATTGTTAAGGAACCACCGCTCGCCATGTCCAGATTTTCTAGCATTCCAGCTAACAGCTCTTGGGGAATCACCTTGTTGGTTCAAAAATACTATTTTATGCCTGTAACTGTGCTGTCTTTGGCCTGTCCACTTTAAGGCCAGAGGGCAGTTTGCACATATTATCAGTGTGGTCTGTCATTATGAGCTTATTGGCTTGGTCAAAAGACTGTTTGATCTTTTGATTGTCTTCCCAACTGTTTCTGTGGGTCACATCTGTTATTATTATTATGGATTATGGAGCAGGGTAGCAGATTGGGAACCACTCTGTACCCCCTGCAGTTAGCTAGTGAGATTTTGTACAACTGCGTTAAAATCTGTCGGATCAAAAAAGGTTGTGCTCTACCAGACACTTCGATTCATACTCCAATATATTGTAATCATGCATTTCTACCCTCATGTTTAGATGCCTCTTTTGAGGTCTAGACACAAAAATGTATACTTACTCTCAAAGACTTATATATTACATGCGTCACATTTTCTTTTATTTACAGATAAGATACTATGTTCGTCAGAGTGTCCTCAACTTTCCATCTCTTCCGGAAGAGGGGTCAATTTTTAGTTCCCAGGATTCTGAAAAGTTGGTTTCTGGTTTTCTGAACGCTTTTTCTGAGTATTTGAATTGTAAATCTGACTTTTTGAAGACAGGAGGAGGAGCAGGGTTTGCAAATTGGAGATGAGGTGTGTGAGAGGAGTCTGTGTAGGATCCATTCTTGTTCTATAAATTCAAGGCTTCAGTTAATTTAATTCCAAGTGCTTCGCAGATTTCATTACTAAAAAACTAAATTGCACAGGATTTTTCCTTCTCTTAGTCCTATATGTGATCGTTATAAACTTGGAGAAGGCTCTCTTACTCATTGGACTTGCCCCAAATGGTCCAACTATTGGCTGGACATCTTTAAATGTTTTTCTGATATGTACAATTACACATTAGAGCCGGACCCAATAACTGCATTGTTTGAGTCTTCCTCTTCATCTTTAACACCTCCGCCCTGCTGCATAAACTACAGTTTTGTTCAGAATGATAATTGCTAAGAAAATTGTTTTGCCTCTCTGGAGGTCTGGCACTGTGCCTCAATTCAAAATGTGGCTAAGAGAACTGACTGCTCTACTGCACAGGGAGAGGATTAGGTATACATTAGAGGGCAAACTTAGTAAGTTCTTTGATGTGTGACAACCTTTTTTAGATCATGTATTAAAACAAAGTTCTCTTTGATCGATCGCAGCGTTTTACTTCTGTTTATTGTCAGTGTTGAAGTAGTATTTTTCTTGCTGCAGTGTAATCTTTTGCCTTATTTGTGTTTTTGTCCTTGCTGGTGTGTTGTCCGTTTGTGTTTTTTCATTTATATCAAAATCTTAATAAACATTTTTTTTTTAAAAAAGTTTATGTTTTGTGAATAGCTTTTTTTTTGCAGTAGCTCCATCTGTAGCTATTGTATTAGTTTCGGTATGTGCAGATTTGCTTTTCACAAACACAGCCATCATTGTTTCTTTCACCTATATGGCTCGGGGTGTGTCTTTTAATGGCACAATATCAAGGAGTTCTTCTTTGATCACACACTCATTTGACGCAGACCATGCAAATACTGCCAACTGAGGCTTGTTTTGTGTGTCACAACTCCCATCCATTGCAAAATTAAAATAAGCACATGCTTGAAGGTCAGAGAGAGCACTTTGTATATTTTTGGAAAAACTGTATCTGCTTTTCTGCCTGACTTTTCAAAGTGACCAACTCGTGCTTGCAAAGTTCAGTCCCTTTTGGAAATTCCTGGTCGATGTTAGCATGGCTTGAGCTGAAGTGATGCTGAATGAAGATCTGAAGCTTTGGAATGCGCTAATGACACCTGGCATATGAGGCAGGATGACTTGCCATTACATTCAACAACAACAACAAAAACTCTCCCACTCTGTTAAAAACATTCTGTGTTCTTCTTCATATTTTTTTTTTGCTGTGCATTTTTTCCCTGCTGTTTTGAGAGCGAGCATGACATAATTTGAATACTCAAATGATGTTGCCCCTACTGGAAAACTTTGCGGTATTTTTTCACATGCACAGGCGTATTTGATGAAAATACCGGATTAAACACAAACAAAGCAAACACGCACATTAAAAAAAAGACAACCACAAACAGCACGAGAGCCGCGGTTGGGCACTCTTGGTTTTATAGGTTAGCAGTGAAATTACGTAGTTAAACTTTCATTAATCACAAATATATTAACCATCAAAATGAAGTTGTTGTGTGATAAACAAATTCTCATGTAGATCAATCTGATAGCAAAAACCAGATCATTTAAATTATTTTATTAACAACATTTATACAATAAAAAAAAATTAAAGATGCCTGTAAAAAGAAGTCCTAACGGATGATGATTTTTAAAATAAATTGTGTTTCGTCTGTGTTGTTGTGAATGAACCAGTCTTCAGATTTTCATCCTTTGCACCATCTGTTAATTTAGAAGAACCAAAAAAGAAGTTAAATCAAAACTTAAAGAAAAATGCATTTCCATAAGAGAACGTTTATTAAAATGTATAATTATTAAACTGTTCGTACTGTTTAAAAGAAGAGTGGACACCTATTTGTGTGTTTATGTAAGAAACACACCATGTTGTTCTGTCACAATGTGAGACAGTGTTGTGTGAGATCCACCAACAAGCTAGTAGAGAAACAAACCACCACAAAATGAGTTAAAGTTACTGTAAATCAACCTTCTCACACTTCAAGTGAGGTTTTCTTCTTTTATGGACACATGCTTCTGAAAACAGTTTCAAATTCAGCAATTACTAAAAATAATCCATCTCTATCGGATTAGACCATTATCCAAAGTTACCAAGGAAACTTATTAGTTATAGGTACACTTGTAAGTCTGTTTTTCTGAATTTTATTAAAATAGCTCAACAAAATAAATACTCATACTTCAAGTGATATTGATCCAGTTCAGGCTCTAGTTGTTTGTGTCATGTTTAGTTGCACCAGACTGTATATAAGATTTCTGTGACATACAAAGATATAAATATGTCTCTTGGGATGCTCCCTTTAAGGGTTACCACAGTGGATCATCTGTCTCCATCTCACCCTATTCCTTGCATTTGTCTTTAGCTAACCGTGTCATAGTGTCCACCAACACCCTGCTGGCCGACAGCACTGGTGGTGGGCGTGCCTCCACCAATCTATTATGGCAGTCTCATTCTTGACAATGAGCTTTTAATCAGATGCCTTTCCTGAGGCAACCATTTGCAGTTGCAAAGAGAATGGTACTAGTCTTACTGCATTGTACAAAGTATAATGTTTGGTGGATCATAGTGTAGGGTTGTTTTTTAGGGGTTGGGCTCAGCCCCTTTGTTCCAGTGAAAGGATCTCTTAATGCTGGCCTCAACCTGATAGAACATGTTTGGGATGAATCAGACAAAGTGAAAAAATATTAATCCCATCCGCCAACTCAGAGTACAGATACTTTAAATGCTTCCAATAAATATAAATGAATATATTGGCCACTATTAAAGAAGAAATAAAGGTTATAAGTGCAGTTCTGTTTTTATTATCATTGTTACCATTGAGATTGTTGCAAGGAGTGTACATTTTATTAGTAGATTTAGAACATGAAGTGGTTATATGTTACTGTGCATGGAACAGCTTAGACACAGATCTTAAATTTTGCAAGAGGGGAAAAATAGAATATTTTAAACATAGTTTGTTTTATAGATCTGTTCACATCTCTGTAAAGTATAGTAAACTATCAGATCCCTAAAGGTCAAAAGTCAGCATCATTTATTTAAACATATTGTATTAAGTCAGTTCAGCAACAGAAATCATGTAGTGATGGATGAACTGGTCATTCATAACATGAAAGAGGCTTTTTTTCCAGTGTACCCTGGTTATGTGATACATTTATTTGTAACATTAAAACTGATAAGGATATATTTGCTTCCTATTTGACTAGGCATACGATCTACCTCTAACACCACTGAATGTGGAAACAGGGACATTTTTCTCAACTCATTACATGGAAAATTTAATGTGGACTTAGCTGTTGATTGGAAATGGGACCACACTGATAAAAGGACCAGATAATAATGACAAATGGAAACAAATAACAACAAATAAAATCTAAATATTTTCAGAGCTGAGAGAAGCGTTAGAACTCGCTTTAAGCTAATGTGGTGAAGAAGTCCTTCTAAAGTCCTCATAGTTTAACAACTACACTTTCAGGGCAACCACTGCAGAATGTAATGTGCTGTGCATTCATTTATGGGGTGATGATTACTGTTCACAGGAATACCTGCAATTAAAACTAACATAATAACAAAAAACAAACAAAAAACTGTTTTTTTCTGCTGTATGGATTTTCTTAAGCAAGATATAAAATTTAAATCTTCTTCTGTATCAGTCATGATTGATTCACCTTAATACAGTTGTAATATTGCACATCCACAGTACCTTAAGGGACAAAAACCCTCATTATTAGATTTGAGGAGGATGAGAACACATTTACATGATGATACGATGCAAAGTCACTCCTGTTGACATTTCCATGAATTTCCATTTTGGATTTGAGCAACAAGCCAGAGGACAGTGGGGAGGTTTCTTCAAACACTCTGGATATTTACAGTTAACAAAGATCTCTGCAAAGACTGTAAGTACTGAAGTGTAACTAAACTTAGAAAATAAACTTTAGAAACTCTTGATATGATGATTCATTATTACTCAATTTTCTACTTTTTTGCATGTTACAGACCATGGCACATGTGATTCATCTATCATTACTGCAGCTAGGTATGTTTATTGTTATAACAGTAACTTGTAATTTAAAAGATTATTTAAAAGGTCATAGGTTAGATCTAGCCATGCAGATCCATTTTAACACATTTCTATTTCACTATCTATTTCTTTATGTTCTTCATTCTATTTACCAATGCATTAAACAAACAAATGTGTCTATATATAATAAAACAAAGATGTTTTTAAAGTACATAAATAAATACATTTGCACTTGGAGAGAGATCTAACAGACAGTGGCACTGATCCCATCGCTTGGCTCTTTCTATGGCATGGGAACGTTTTGGCAAAAAGGAAAATGGAAGAAAGGACAGTGAAAAAAGAATAGTTACAAAAATACTGACTTTTGTACATGTTTTTGTTTATATTTTTCTTACATCTGTGAATTATTTTATATTTATTGTAGAAGAAGAAAATTATCACTTTAGCAAACACCTAAATGGAAACTGTCCTCAGACCTGATGTGATCTTCCTGTGTTACAGCAGTGAGCCTGCTGCCCTGTTTTTCAACACCAAACTCTGGAAAAATCAAAATCACTCCCTGTGATCGGTGCCCTGTTGGAGGGATTATTAACCAAAATTGCAACTGCATAAATGGCAAATGGATTTTGAAATTTGAATGCGGTGGTCCCAAAGTTAACCAAGTCACACTGGAAGCCACTAAACTCAGTAACCGTGGGGTGATTTCTAAAACATGTCCTATAATCACATGCACAACCAGCAGTTTTCTTTTGACTGTGCAGGTAGAAGCTGGTAAGAAATCTCAACTTCACAGCATATTCTTCCATTGACAGAATATTAGTAGCTTAAACATGATTTTATTCCTGAAATAAAGCAAGAAGTGTCTGCAGCAAATGGATTTTAAAGTATACTAGAATATTTAATTCAGCAAGTACAAAATCTGAAGTGACACAGTAGTTTTTAAAGGCACGTGCCACACCTCTTCATGTGGATTCATTTGTTTTGTTTTCTGCAGGGCGTGTAAAGGTTTCCAATGGTGATAACATTTGTGGAAGTTGCAACAGCGGAGTTACCATTAATCCTCTCAGCAAAAAGCCAACCAACTGTATTTCAGGGTAAATATGTTTTTTGCGCACTGAGCTCTTTAAATATAATACTACAGAAGATGCAGATGTGTTATCTCTTATAGAATTTCTCTCATGTTTGTCCAATGCTTTTTAAACAGCTCTGTATTTTCTATCAACAGAAAAAAGATTGATATCTCAGTGTCTAATCGATTTCCAAAAACAGTAAAGATAGATTTTCGAGATGTCCATGAAGTATACAATATCAGTGACTGTATAGATACAGGCAAGTACTTTTGTCAGCACAATCCACCTTTCCTAAAAAAATAAAAAATAAAAAAAAGAATTAAAAACTGTATAGTTACAACAGGATTTTTTTTTCTTTTGTAAAACTGAAATATGTTTTTAAAGCTTACATTTTTACATTTTCTTCTTATGTCCAGGTTCAAATCAAAGGCCCTGCAATGTTAGTGTGTCTACAAGGAGTACAGCTACATCAGGTGGAATTTTTTTATATTTCAGCCTGAAAACAGTCATTTTAATATATTTAGTATATGTTAATATATTATAATGCCGTAGACTCAATATATTAATCTATACAAAACATTCCTGACTATCAGGCTGAGTCAGCAGAGCTTTGTATAAATAAGGAGACAGCAGGAAGCTGTGGCCTATTGTAGTGTTAGCATATCTTAAATGTCACTTTGCTTTTTTTGTCTCCAGTTACAAACCTGGAGTTCTACCATGAAAACAAAAGTTGGATTGATGCCTTGGAGCAATGCCAGACAGACTACACCTCCCTGGTTGAAATCACCAACCAAACAGTGAATGATGAAGTGAAAAGTCTCCTGCAAAATGAGACACACCTGCAACGAGGGGTGTGGATTGGCCTGGAACGCTCAGTTTTTGGCAAAGATAAGAAGTGGATGTGGATTTCAAAGTCCAAAGACATTTGTCCTAAATGGAACAGCAGCATAGCTGACTCAAATAACCACTGTGCAAAGATGATCCTGACTGAGCAACAAGAAATTAAGCTGCTGGATGCCAACTGCCATGACAGACTACCTTTCATCTGTCAAGGTGAGCATTAAAGAACAATCATGTATAATATTGTTATCAGTTTCATGCTTAAAAAATAAAATAAAATGAAACTTCCATTAAAATGATGTAATTATGATTTGAATTGTAATCATTTCCATTTCCCTTTCTTAAGAATGACTCCTTGACAGTCACATTGAGATCGTTCCTGATCAGGCTTCACTGAACAGTAGATGGATCAACTGAAGGGGCAGCTCTCTTAGAACCTGTGTCAGGTCTTTGCTGGATTTGTGTCCTATCTCATAACAATGTGACTTTCAGATACTTTTCATCTGTTATAGATCGTCTTTTAAGCCTGCCTCTTGTTATTTTGTTCTCCACTTGTAGAGTTTCCTTATATTTTGTTAAAAGTTCAGCATGCTGTGTAGCAAATAGCTCTTTGGGAATCGCCTTGTTGGTGTTAAAATACAACTTAATGGCTGTTAACCTCTGTTATCTTTGGCCTCTCCAAAAGAAGGCACCTAGAGGAGTTCCCACATATTATCAGTGTGGTTTGTTATTATCAGTTTGTTGTGCATTTCAGTAGTCACTTGGTCACGGGACTGAATCTGATGTTTTTAAAGGCTTTGTTGGGGGAAAAATATCGATCATTTGTTTCATGTTTAGTTATAGTTGATTGCTCACCTGGTATGAATGGTACAGTGGAGTAGATGAAGCTGCATTTTGTTTAGTTTTGTCATATATTCCTTTTATTTGGGGTTTCAGGGTTTAGGGTTTTTACCTTGGTTCTTTTAATATCCTTGTTAATAAATGTTACCTTTATTGCACTGCCTCAAACATGCCACATCATTTTCTGGTGCCTGGCAGTAACAATTACACTGTTTGGGGTCTCAGTGCGACATTTGCTAAACATCATAATCTACTTTAAATATAAGACTGTACTATTTTTAACGTAAAACAGCAATAGTGTATAAACAAATATGAATGTAAATCATCTGAAATATTACTATTATTGTCTTTTTCATTGTGATATATAATTTGTATTGTAACAATTATTTTAATACGATAGATTCTAATTATATATTCAAATATATTGATGAGACTATTTAACCAGTAAGACAATGCAGCAGATGTGAGGTGTGGTCCATAGTTTGTACAACATCTTTCTCTCACTAACTCACTGTAGGGAGTTACAGAGTGGTTTTCCTGCGTAAGCCAGACTTCTGAATCGGCTACCTGGGTGCAGTTTTCTTTACAACTGTGTGCGAAGAAAACTGCAACAGCAAACAGGTTTTTAAAAAATGGAAAAAAATTGTGAAAACATTAAATCATTCAAGTTTCATCAAGAAGTAGTCTCCTATGTCCTTTCTTGCAGGGCAGAACAAGTACAGCTGATACACTTTGTACTTTTTCCATTGCCACAAAAAAGCAAATTCTTCCAGAACAGAACTGGTTTAAATTGGCCTTGGTCTTCCCAAAGTCTTCCACCATCTCTTTCGGTTGTGACTGTAACCTTAGAAAATGTGGTATCGAGGCCGATACCAGATACCGGTATCGGTGCATCCCTAATTTAAAGGGAAAGAAATTCAAATAAAAGCAGCTGGTGTTCTTTCCCCCAAAGTCTGCAAAGTAAGTGAGACCAATAATGACCAAAATAATGTAATTAGGATTTTTGCCATAATTGTTCAGCCTTCGTAATCATAATGCCGTTTGTTCATCCATCTTCTTCCACTTATCTGGGGGCAGTTTGCGGGCAGCAGCCTACGCAGACCTCCTTCCAAGCCACCTCCTCCAGCTTTTCTGACCAGCCGCCAGATAGAATCTCTCCAGCGTGTCCTGGGTCTGCCCCGGGGCCTCCTCCCAGTCATTGCCGGGATGACATTTCTTCATCTCCCCCCTAAATCATGGTTCTTAAAGCCAAATCTTATTTTAACAACTGATCACTTTTTAACTTTTCCATAAAGAAAGAGCCCTGAGGAAAAGTATGATAATGTGCTTAATTAAATACTGCATTAAAAATACTGTTTTCATACAGAATTTCAGCTTGCAGCACTTTGATTTGACATTTTAATTGTTAAGCTTTATAGTGAACCCTGCGGTGCAGTGAACATGTGAACAAGAGCTCAGGACTTTTCAGACAAGCTCCAAGTATAACATCTCAATTTTATAAACTATTAACTTTTGATTATGTTTTTGCTAAAATGTAGCAAGCCGGTGCTGTACTCATGTGGGCACCCCAGGCGTTTACTTATACTCGGCAGAGGCGGTGCTCTCTCTGTAACCTGGAAGACCAGTGAGTTGGTTAGTGGCATAGCTTCTTGCAGGTGTGTCAAACATCTCCACACACACACGCTGTGTTCACACTACAAATAAAATGTGACTTAATCCTGCCCAGTTCGCACTGGGCAGGATTAAGAGAGAGCGAGCTGAAGCCAGGCTGTACAAAGTCTCATCCCCTTCATTGAAGCCAGGAGTCTTCTACAGATCAGAAAACAACATTTAGGTCACAACAATAACACTTTAATGGGAGCACAGAGATGTTTAGAGATGCAAATTTCAAACACCAATCATGACCATTTCTGTGTGCTGCTAAAGTACTGTAGGTGTGAACAAAAAAGGGCTGCTGACAACCCGAGAGGAAGAAAAGATCCAAGATTTAAATATTCTTTTAGTATGGTAATTAAAAACTGGGAATCCAGACATTAAGAACAGTTTTAAAGAAATTTTAAATCAAAGTATTCAAGGGCATTTTTTAGCCTTTACTTCATAGACACAGTGTAGACAGACAGGAAGGAAGGGAGAGAAAAAAGGATGAGACATGCAACAAAGGGCCATGGATCAGACTCAAACCCAGGCCGCTACCCTGCAGCCATGCGGCACATGGTGCCTGCTCACTCACTGAGCTAAACTAGTGCCCAGTGAAGTTCATAACCTGCTTGGTTCTGCAAAGTTTGAAAGATGAAGCTGAATTATTTGGGGCTGAATCCACTTCCATATCATCTTCAGCACAAGTCGTGAAAGATGAAAAGTAAAATTTACAAATTCATTCATACTCAAGGTTTCTGAAAGGTGTGTGAAGTAATTAAATATAAATAAAATAATCCTGTAATCCAGTTTTATAACATTTGCCTACAATTAAGAAGAGTTATTTATTAATTACTGGAAGGGTCTACAGTAAGTGTAGGCAGTGATTTGTAAATGCAGAGAGAAAGAGATAACACAGCTTAAATTTTTTTTTTTTTTTAATTTACGGGGCACTGAAGTTTTCCTGCATGAGTTTTGTTTTTTTTCTAAGGGGGTCCTCTGTGTTGTGCTCATCATGGTCCTGGTGACTGGTAACTAGGGGAGACCGGGGATAGTTGTAACGTGGGTCAGTTTGTAACACTTCCAATTTCTCCAATCAGGGCTAAGTTTCAAATGATGTGACTCATCCTGTGCATGCCCAATTCAGTTCTGCTATCACATGTGAAAAATCAGCACATTTTGTCAAACACAGACAATTTAACACGAAAAAAAGTAATTTATATGCCAAAAAGTAAGTTTTTCTACTTTATTTCAATTTGTAACAGCATTATCTGCTTTGCAGTTAAACTCATCAAACTTAAATTATGTTATTTGTTTGTCTATGGGGATATGTTCTGTGTAGGTCTTTAGTGCTAATGTTTTAGCTGTTGGCTGTAATGTTAGCTAGTTCATGACTATAGGAGTCTGGGTCAGTTGTAACAGCAACAGTCTGGGTCAGTTGTAACAATAATGCAGATGTTACAACTTACCACACTATTACTTTAACTTATATTAAACAAGTTGGGGCAACGACATCAGCAGAGAGAGGTTCACTGGTCGCAGTTATATATGCAGTTAATGCCATTGGCAACACAATTCCTCCACTGTTTGTGTTCCCACACATACATTATGCAGACCACTGTGTCAGAGATGGACCAGTAGGAAGTACTGGTAGTGGAAATAAGTCAGGATGGGTGCAAGAAACAGATTTCCTCATCTTTCTGAAGCACTTTGCAAACCACACCAAGGTAAGCCATGATAAAAAGTAATGGAATTGCGATGCTGGTGAACAACTACATTTTTTCAGCTTCATTGTTATGTTCAAAATTGGTGCAAGAGTTGTAGGTTATAATGCCCACTGAGCCAATGAGGCCAAACTCAAGGAAGACCAACCAAAATTAATGAAATATTCAGTTGCAGAAAATTCCATAATTTGTCTTTTTTGGGGGGTTGGAAT